GGCAATCACTACCAACCAACCAACCAAACGCGACATTCATGCAGCGGCTGTGGTGTTTATTTGAGTTGGCTGCCTTCTTGCATAGCCGCGAAGCGGGCACCAAGACCAGGCTGACAATTCGCCCCACGCTGTTGGGTCCCTTGTTTCTGATTACCGTCTTTTCTTTGATCATTTTCAACGCTGTAACCACATTTGCCTGGGTCCTGATCGAGAGTTTCTGGTACTTTTGGCTGGTCGTTCTCCTGCTGTCAAGTGTGAACTTCTGGTTAACTGCTCACATGGGTCGCGGCTACTGCAGGACCATAGAGAGAGTGCGAGACGAGATTGCAGAGTTCAGTGTTGACAAGTTAGTAAGCTGGTGCTGCTGTGTGGGGCATAAAGATCCAGCCTCCGGAGTGCGTTTGACATGCGACCGGAAGATCATCTTGCAATGTATTCAGATATGGTTTGGCACGGTCAACGCCTTCGAGAATCGAGTACAAACAGAGATCGTGCGGATTCTCGTGGATCAGCTGTCGAATCAGGTCTATAGAGGGGGCACGGGATCTCCAGGATAGGGGTAGGCAGCTTTTGTTGGCCGCATTTTGCCGCGTGGATTAGGGACGGATTAATGAACCCCTAGCACTCAATGACATTAAGGTTCCCGACCTCGGGTACTTACTAATTTAACGGCCAGCGCGGAGGACCGCCTTGTGTGGAAGGGGTGGAAAAACGTGATATGAAATGGCCAAAACAGGCCCCAGGCCTGGACGCTTCCACAAGACCAAGTGCAAGGACCCCAAGCAAACAATTCGCTCCGAGGCCTGCAAACCCTCCATAATTCAGGGGCCTCCAGGGGCCTAGAGGCCTTCAGGGGTCCAGGGGCTTCCTGTGGCCTCAGGGGTGGTGGCCTGGGAGCCTGAAAGGATCGGCAAATCATGGCAAACCAAACTTGGTTCCCTGGACCTAGATCAAGACGCCCCAGGAGTCTGGCCTCGACAGATTACCAGAGCCACATCCAGGTTTCAGTGACAAAGCCCCCTCAAACAAAGTTTCGGAGAAGGGCGTCCTCAAAAACATCATTTTGTATTAGCGCATTGAAATAGGGGATTCTGGAAACAGTGACGGAAACTCGCTTCATTATTCAGGATCGCAACAACTGGGGTGGAGCTTGCTGCAAGGTTGCGGCCAATTATCCAAGTCTGTAGCTATCCGTAGCTGGCAGCTTCAACAGGCTTCCTAGCTTCAGTTGGGGGACAACAGTGGTAGGCGACAGCAAATGCAGGCGAATCCTGCAACGGCAAAGCCAGTTTTGCGATCCAGCCTGAATCATTGCTTCCTGGTCTGCCAAGAGACAACGCAAAAATAGCCAAGTTTCGCCAGCGGATGCCTCAAAAATTGAATGCCTTCTTTTGTACTTGATTTGGTCTGGGTTGCGAAACGTTTAGAAACAGTAGCCGCGAGTGCTCGCTCCATCATAATGATGAAATCCGCACCAGATCAGTGTTGCGATCCAGCCCGGCCTCACGGCCAAGCACTGCTGTTTTGCTGTCTCTGCAAGCACTTCAAATTCACATTATTCTCGGATTGATCTGATTACGGCCTTCCTTTCTTCTTCCCGAATCATCCTCCTCCCAGAACGATAAAAAGCTGTTCTGTATTGTTTGGTGAGGGAGGAGACCTCCGTACACTGGCTAGATACAAAGGTTGTAACGTGTCATGCGGCCTACCCCCAACAGTGCGCACTGACAGGTGCTTTCGTACGGACAGCTGGTCACAGTCACAGTCCCCATAACTTGGGGGTACCTGGATGTCGTCTTTGACCAGTTCCTGGTTGGAAACTATGCGGATGCCATTCACAGCCTGATGCGCGGATTGACCTACGGGCTGGCCATGTCTCCATCCCTCATATTGCTTTTGTTCCGGCTGGCGTACTACTTGCGGAGGAAGCGCAGCTCGCATTTGCTAGACTTGCTCATGTCATCGCTTGTCATCCTTTGTGGTCTTTGCCTTTTTGTGGGCTTCGTGGCCTTGGATCTGTCGACCTTCAATGTATTTCTACCAGGAGCTCCAATCGCCGCCGGGATGATATTTTGTGTGCCGACAGTCACCGCAGCACTACTAGTTTGGAGAGTCGTGCCCAAGACCAAGCTGCTCTAGCTCTGCGCAAGGAGTGACGGAATCGCTCCTTCAAGTTTAATGTTCATATTGCAGGAAAAGCAGTCCCACGTCGAATGAGCGACCGCAGAATGCAGCTGCTAGACGCAAACCGAAAGATGGGGGCCCCCAGACTCGTGCAAAGGAGCTAGAGCGGAGTAAGCTCGCGCAACAACTCTGCAGGTTTGGCTTCGACATGGCAAGCTCGTTTGGATTTTGGCGATGGTTCGCATATCTCGCCACAACGATTTCTTGCTCGCAATCACCATACAAGATATCAACTCTCAATTAGATTTGCTGAAAGTGCAGGATAAAAAGATAAAGGGAAATGGGGCACGTATTAATGACTTCTTTTTGGGTTGGCAAGGCCAGCTGATAATATGACTCATTCAACCACGTAACACAAGCATAGATAATATTGGACAATATTAGATGATTATCTCTCTTGAATATTATATTGGAAATTTAGCTAGATATGAGATAAGAGATCTATTAGATATAAATGAATGAATATATTCAAATAATGGCAGAGATATTTATATTATCAAAAAAAATGATTGAGAATATTTTCATTGAGAAATTTGATAAATAATGAATATATTGGATCTTATATAAAATTACGAATATATATTGATATGCAAGATCATATATATTGAGAATGAATAATTTATAGATTCTGAAAGATTTGGGATCTTCGCTTTAGATTTTTTTCAAGAAATGGGAAAAATATGATCGAGATTTCTTGATATTTTTGGTTGGGCGGCTCTCGTATTAGAAGCGGAGAATTGATAATTCTTAGATTTCTTGAAGTTTCCGAGGTTTTAGAGATTTTGGGGGTCTGTAGGAAGAATTGTGAGGAGACTCGGAAAAATGAATTTGCACGCGAACAAGAATTATAAGTGGTCGCGATATATTAATTTATAGAAAATTAGATCTATTTCATGAAATTAGGAAATTCGTCATATCTCTGAAAATTCATCTTCAAGAATATATAAATATAGAGATAGAATATATTAGATGATAGGCTTATGAAAAAGATAAATGATTCATAGCTAATATTTGCGTATGAATAATTTTCAGAATGGCATAGATCGTAATGATTCTTCTAAAATATTCTCAAGATAGAAGAATCTAGCATTTTCTTATATCGTTTTGATAATAAGCTCTGCGTTCTGCGACGATATTATTGAATATGAATCTTATATAGAATTATGGGATTTCTTTCTATAGCTCCGAATCGGGCAAGAGAGAATGAATCTTTTTATAAATCTGGCAGAGATTTTTTTTGATATAGATCAATGAGATGAATTCTGGAAATATAATGTATATTCTAGACCATGGCGATCTAGGAATGGGAAATATGGGGTTGATTGCTTCGGATATAGATTAGGAAGAATAGATGGGCGTCATTCTATCTCAATTATTCTGAGATCTATTCCTCAATAAATATTGATATTCAATATTTCTATCATATTCCGGATAGAAAAGAATCTCATCAATTATCTATAATTATGGAGACGCCTTTATGCCTACGGATGCTAGATAAGACGGGAATATCCTCGGATTAGCTATTATAACTATCGATCTCGGACCTTTGCCTCCAAGATCTGAAATCTTGAGGGAACGCGGCAATATTCGTAGAGATCTAGAATTCATGGCAATCAAGAAGATTATATCGGATAGGAATGATTATAATGATAGATTCGATGATATACGAATTCTTCCAATATAATTTGATATTCAATATATTTGGAGGGGAGAATTCAATCTGGCTGGGATAAATCGTCATGAGATAATTCCTCAGGCGGGAGAATTTCAAGGACTATCAATTTTCTTGAATCTAATCAAGATGATGAGGAATCGGAATTTCATTCCCGCCATTTTCTATGAAGATTAGACGAGATCTTCAGAGATTATATGAAGAGATCATTTTAAATATATATATGAATATTTCTCCAGAATCGTAGATATTATATTTATCTTTGATCAATTGAATATAAAGAAGACGAATGAAGAAATTGATCTTCGTCGTCGCAATCTCCGAAAACCGGCGATAAGGGATAATGAGCTCTGAAGGGGCGCCTTTGGAGATCGGGGACGATCTTGAATCTTTGACGGCTCCGCGCAGATCAGTCATTATTCTCCAATTTTGAAGTCTGGTTATTCTGATGATATAGATGGACGGAGAGATCTTTCTCTCTATATCTATGGGATCTTTCCGAGATATCTCTTGGATTCTTCAAATCAATCTCAGAAATGGCGTCATATTCGATTCAAATATGAGTCGTTGAGCTGAGAATGTGTTCCTGCATCTCGGCCTCGCAGGCTTAAAGCCCAAAACACAGGAGCTCTGGTATATGGGGATAAGGGAAAAAGAAAGATCCCCATATACCAGAGTCGTTGATATGAGCTATATCCTGAATTTTCTCAAAGAGATGCGCAATCAGAAGGATTTTTCGATATATCTATGATCAATATCTATTATTATCCAATATATCGCGCAGAATCATAAATTTCAATCATTTGAAATGATTTCAGAAAATATTATTATATCTAATGAGCGTGAGACGATTAGATCGATTCTAAAATTGAAGATCTAGGCAATAATCCGTCCTTTCAATCAGATCTGATTTGATTGCGGCAAATTGGGTCTAATCTCCCTCGATTGAATGATATCTTGGATAGATTTAGTCGTGATATTTTGCAGGACCCGGTCGGCAATATGATATTAAATCTAGATTCTAGATGCGTAGGGCAACAAGATTGAAAATGGAATAATCAATATATCATATATAGATATGGTCTTAAAGAAAGATTCAAAAAAATATAGCTAATTCATCTATTCCTAAATTCGTGAGGTCATGATTTCATTTATCAATCAAGCTCAGGATTTCATGATATCTTTTGTGATAAAGAAGAACGATAAATTGAGATTGGTCTTAGATTGTCGACGGATCAATCAGAGATTCAAAGATGATATCTATTATAGGTCTATCGTAGATTCAGGCGGAGATCCCCGAAGATCAATAATTGCATATGGCATAATCTGATATCCCCGATTTTTTAAATATTCTTTATCTCCGAATCTATTTTCCCAAAAATTCGTCTATTGAAAAAAAATCAATCATATGATTTTTTTCTTAGATAAAATCAATCTGCGATTGATTTTTCATAATAATCAATCTCATATCTTATTTTCTTATGAAAATCAATCTCGAGCTGCAATTGAAATATAGAATTATATGATTGAATAATGAAAATCTATGATTTAAAAAATTCTGGATATTGGAATCAGATAAAAATTTGGGGAGAATTGATTCCTATCGAGAATGAAATTTCATTATCTATTTTCTAAATATATCTAGAGATCCAATATAATATTGAAAAATATAGAAATCTCAAAAATCAATGATGATAGATATCTTTCTGCAGAGCTATAGATTTCAGATCTGACTGAATAAATTATCCAATATATATCTGATTAATTAGATAGAAATTTCATCTATGATTATAAAATCAAAGATTCTATCTATAATTAGAGAATCATAGATTCTATCTATGATTGAAAAATCTTAGTTATAGATGATTGGATCATTTATATATATAATATTATATTATATATCTAATTCTTATGCATTGCTGGATTATATAGATTATATAAATGATTCTTGTCTTTGGCTGCAGTCGTTTATATTTTAATAGAAATAATATTTAAGTAGTAGAGCATTGAACATGATCAATAAGAAAGAGGTCTCTTGGAGCCCTCAAGACGACCGTTATTGCCTCCAGTGAGTCAGATGCCATGCAGAAGAAGAAGAAGATCAAATATGCTCCGGAGAAGAAGAAGGATCAAGATCAGAATAAAGATAAATATCAGAAGATAAAATCTATTATAATGGAGGCAATAGTTATTATAATAGAGGAGGAGCAGGAGAAGGAGGAAGATGATTTTTTTTATGAGACAGATAAGCGCATTCTATCTCATCCAATAAATAGATATAAATTTGGATATGGAGAGGAAGATTGAAGATTATATAGCCCAAGAGAAGGAGGGAGAGGATATATAATAAAAGATGATTGAAGAGCAATGGGAAGAAGAAGATTTCTGGGATATCTTATTATCGGAAAAGGATGATCTGGCTCTCCAAGAGCGAGAAGAAGAACTTCTGGAGGAAGATTTATAGAGATTATTTAATGAAATTTATAGATCAGCTCATAGGCCTCCTCATGAACACCAGCCAGAGAAATATGATGAGGAATCCCAAATTGAGGCAATCTCATCATCATCTTCATCGCCTCCAGCATCTTCAGAAGAAATATATGATAATTCTCCAGAAGAAACAGATGATGATTCTGAGGAAAAAATAGATGATGATTTTGCAGAAGAAATTCATGATAGATCTGGAGATGATATTATTGATCATTCTCCTGATCAATTATTTCTTTGTTTGGTCTGGCGGGATATCCTGAATCATGAAGATCGATGATTTTATTTATAATTCTTGCCTTGATTCTGGTCAATAGATTTAATTAGCATCAATAGGAGAAATAATCGAAGTAATAGAAGCAATAATTATTGATATTCAAGCTTTGCAATTTAACCATAGATTTGGAAATTCTAATTTGATATTGGAAAATTATCTGCCTGATAAAATGATCTTACTATAAATCTCTTTCTGCTCCAAATTCTGAGAAATTCTATTTATAATAACTCCAATTAATCAGCTTTTGCATATATATATATATTTGGATGAAATATCATGCCTAGAAAGCCAGCTCTTTCATAATTCATTCTGCGATTGAATAGCCACCTTATAGCAATATTTCTGAAGGAATATTTCTATCAGAATTTTCTTTGCAAAGCCATGTTGTGCAGCATATGGCATGCAGATCAGTTGGGCTGTGTTGCACGTCTGTTAAATATTTAAGCTGGCAGAAATAGAAATAGAAGAAAAAGAAATAACAGAAATAGACGGTTGTATCTATATTCTTGATGAGCGATG